TTTTTTCCTTTTTCTCTGGCTCTGAGCATGGGATGGAATACGTAACTCAGTGAGCATATCAATAACAGCTGATGAAATGTTTTTGTCACAGTCTTCTGTATTTACTGTTTTTAGGGAGTCTTTCCATAGGACCTATTTAATGGATATAGTCCGCATTTATCAAAGCCACTTTTTAGGTTGGTTATTAATTTTTGGTATAAACGTGAAAATAATGTAGGAAAACATTCTTTTGACAATGTTTTGATACGTCGTGATTCTTTCTGTTTCCACTCACTCAATAAAAGGCGCCAATTGTGTTTTAATTGGGCATAAAAAGCTACATCTAATGGATGCATAATATGTGTAGATTTTGCAGGTAGGCATACAAATTTAATATTGTAACTATTACATAATTCTAGAACTCTTGGGGAAAAATGAGAGGATAGGTTGTCGCCTACCAAGATCTTGACTCCCTCCTTTTTTTTGCGTATGGGTTACTGTTGTAAGCCAATCCTCGAACCATATAGAGTTGAACCATCCACTGCGAGATCTATTGTAATGAGTACCAGGAGGACCTCCTGTTATCCGGGTATCCCACAAATGTTCTGCCTTATAAACAACATAGAGATTAAGCAATATACCAACAGTTGCACCAGCAAACATTATGCTAATAGCGCTTTTTGTTGAGTCCATTATTCTTTCAGGGTATTTTTTCCCTATTTTGCAGATAATTTTTTTTGATCCTGGGTCATCGGTTAAATTAGTTTCGTTTTAGTTGATGATTCTATCTGGAGAGATATCATTGAAAAGTGGCTCGGAGTTGTCAAAAAACTTTTCTGTTATTTCTTTGGTGATTTCAGTTCTTGCAGAAGAAATATTGGTAGTAAGGCGAAATAATATTTGGTTTTTATGTCTCATCATCAAACTTATGGCCCAATCTTTCCCAGGCATATTATTATTAATTGATGGAATATTCCTACCAATTTTGGACTAGTATCTTTGAGCCAAAACTCTTAAGTCCAGCAAATCAAAAGGGAACCTGAACTCTGAAACTTCTAAAATATGTTTTAAAAATGCATTTTCCTCAGTTTTGGAGAACAACGTGGGGTGCCCAGGTTTTGGTTGCAATTTGTTTAGACTACGAGACTTTCTAGATGAAGTAGATATGCTCCGAAGCTTGTTTTAAAGAGCATTGTTTATTTTGAACTGCATTTACTGCTTTTTTTAAGGGACTCTTCGCTGTATGACCCATACGGTTTAAAATATTTTCTATGCCGGACATTTTGGTAGGTTCTTTTATAATTGCGAACCACTATAAACTACTTTTTACTATAAATATATTATATATCTGTAATATAAAAAGTCAAAGTCAGGAAAATCTTAACTTGTTATATTTACGGGGCTATTTGGTAATGGTGCTATTTGAGATTTACTAAAAAACCCCTTTATCTATTTCAAATATATAGGCATCAAGGACATTATTCAACCCACCTATATCAGATATCCTCCCTAATAGGCTATGTATGAAAGAAACCTATATTAAGCAACCTAGATTTATATATAAACTTACGTACCTTAATTGATAGCTTTAAGTAATGATAGATGAATAAACGACATTTGAAATAAATTACGCGTAATAATTTCAAATCACCACTCATGTTGAAACAAGTTGCGGGGAAATATCAATGTAAATAGTATATTTGTAACGCGTACGCCAAAACAATGTAGAGAACAGAATTCCAACAAAATTCCTTTGTGTGCATCCCCTTTGCGAATGATGTGAGAATGTGTCTCTTTGAAGTTTAATGAGCCTGAGGCTCAAAAGCTGGTAACTTTACCCTAAAAATTTTGTTCTGAGGCTTAAAATAATCTACAATTCTGTGTGCGCTGTGGATAACGTATGAGGTGATAAAAAGAAGAGTATTAAGAAGAATTTTTATAAACGAGCACGGGAGATGCTGTGGCCCATAGAATTATACACTTATCCTCGATAAAGCATCAAACCCCGTACTAAGATTGAATGCCTCGTTTCGTAAAAAAAGTCTCAAGTTCTTGACACCCATCATATTAAATGTAGCAGAATTTAGCCGCTATTTTATGCTAGTATTCTGTGAGAGCGTGGTTCTTTTACTGGTCAAGCCAACCCATTCGTGCTACAATCATAACATAGCTGCAGCATAGCTCTAACACGTACAAATTTATTAAACATATAAAATTGCTGCCTAACAAAGTACTTTCCCTTCCAATTTGAATAATCAAATGTATAACCCAGTCATTAATAATAATAAACAAGTTAAGTCCTGTCGATATCAGTACCTATTTTTCTTGGAACCACACTAGACGCGAAGCTTCAATGAGGTCCCCATATATAAAAACTAACAAGCAGACTTAGTTCTATTTCCGTAGCATAATGTCGTTTAATATTTTCTATGCGGACACGTGACTGACACTGATATTGTTGTACAGAAGAAAGCCATAGTCTATGATTTAATACTTAAATAGTCGCTAAGACAAAAATTCTAACTGGTACGTACGTAAACAAAAATAAAAACAGCTTTTCAAAAATGAGTGATTTAGTAAGGAAAAAGGGTTCTCGAGGGGCAGCCTCGTACCGGTAGGCGAAGTGTAGGGAAAACCCTCTCTAGATGGGGTGACTACCGGTAAGACATGCAGAAAGTTGATGGATGCAGGTGGCTCAGAACCTAGCATTGTGGCATTCCTTGGGAGAGAGATATGTTCAGCAATGGAACTTGTGAAGGACTGTAATGATGTTGATGATGAAATGACACTCATTCTGTAAGTACTGGGAACTGACACAAACTAGAAGTACTAGTTACTTGAATACACCGAGTCAGTAATCCATTCTTGGGGCGATACGCTTTATCTAATATTACAGAAAATACACACAATTTGACGTGCTCAAAGTACAAAAACATTATTAAACTAAAGGTTATTTTTGAACCGGTGATAAATTAAACGAAAGAGTAAGTTTCAATAAGTATTATTTATAATCTATATATTGAGTAAAAAAATTGTGTTTCTGTTTATGTTTTAACACGTTCCTTAAAGGTAATAGAATCAAGCGTTAATCGTCATCAACAACCTGCTGCATACATGAGTCCCTCCAAAGGGGAGCCACTTTTCTTCAAAAAAATACTTTCCTGTTTAATATTAAGCGTTACTTTACGAAAATTCAATATTTATGAGATGTAAAAATAATTAAGAAAAATAACATGGTGTTTTTTCCGAGTAGGAAAGACACCATTATACCCTCCCTTCCTTAATTTACTTTACAAAAATTCAATATATTTAAAGATGTAAAAATTAATATAGAAAAATAACATGGTGTCTTTCCTAGAGTCAAGTGCCCTTCAGACTAGGAAATACACCAAAATGGTGTATTTCCTAGCCTTCGCTCCCTCCCTCCATAACTTTTGTCCACTGTCACGGCCATTAGTGTACCTTATACCGCTTTCTTAAATAATATTTTAACAGCTTATAATTAATGAATGGTTCACTTATTGAGCATAAAATCACAAAATGCTGACAGATCCAGGTGGCGGTTCAAGCGCCATCTTGAAAAAAAAGGTTTTCAGCCGATATCTCGGAAATCGTGCACTTAAAGGCAAAAAGTTATAGAAATTATTATTGTAGAAAATAAAACTTTGCATCTTTTGTTTCCAGTAAACTTTTTTGTTTAATTTACCGTTTACGATTTATGGCCCATTTAATGAACCGGTTTTTCTATCACAGCCAATGACTCTTGAAATATTAGATTAACAAATAAAATGCATTTATCCATTTTTGAAGATCAGTTTATTCTCTACAACTTTTGTTTCAAACTTTTTTCTAATGTCCATACTATTTGAGTTATAGGACGTTTAATGTTGGATTTGTCAGCATTTTGTGATTTTATTTTGGGGTTTAGGATTATTACTGAGCAATAATCCTAAACCTTATGAAAAAAAATGGAAATTTTGTGAAGTTGACCAAATAAACGTCTATTTTTACTGTACTATAGTTTTATTACAACATTAAAGATAACGTATTTTAATGTATAATTTTTATATAAAACTGAAGTAACAAACGAAATTACAATCCACCTGGTGGTGAATGCTATTGTAATTTGAAGCTTACAGTCAACAGGGTAGGGTAGAGATCCCTTTAACACGTTCAACGCGGAACGAGATCTTTTAGTTCTCGTTTGTGACGTTTCAGTATCGCGCAAGTGAAATCCTATGTCCATCCCGTTTTGGCAAATTATATTTCTGTATGTTTGTTTACTAATAAAGTGAGATAAATATATTTTCTGATGTTAGGTACATCGGTGGTAGTATTTTTATGAATGAAAACGAACGAGATCTGATAGTTCTCGCTGCGACCGTATAGTAAAATTCTGCTTCTAGTACGGAACGAGAACTAAAGGATCTCGTTGTGATCTCGTGTGAAGCTTGAAAAGAAACTAAATAGTGCCGTGTAAACTTTCGATGAGTGCACATCAATTACGCTGTAATCATGATGGATAATATTATGACGAATCGCAAATACAGTCGAAAAATGTTGGAACTTTGCTTTAGTTCTTCCGAAGAACCTAACATGGTGAATGAAAGTAATCGATGACCAAAATCTTCATCTCTGTTCCGGAAAGTGTTCAAACGTGTTCCTGGAGTGCGCAGTGAAAATATTTGTCTTAGCCCGAATACTGGACATTCATACCAAGAACTTACTAATGTGTCACCATCACCATTCATCCAACATGATACATCGTGCAGCACGGATCAAATGGGGTAAATCTAACTTACATACATCTAACTTGCCAAGTACCAGCAAACAAGGGTCTTCGCAGTTTGTACCGCCTAGCCCACCAGATACGGATTGCATGTATTTACAAACTAAAAAGATAAAAATAATAGAGGAGATAATAATTCCAGCAACAAAATATGCGCCTGTTTTTACAGATACTGCAATGGGAAATAATGATACTTTTCCATTAGTGCCATTGTCTGCGGGTAACTCTACTTATGGTTCTCTCAGTAATATTTCGGTGTCAAATATGCTTACCCTTGATGAATCTTTCGATGAGCAAAAGATATCTGATCTACCTAACACCAAAAAGAAATAATCGTACTAGTAAAGAAAAACTAAGTTCATATTTAAATTTTGATAAGACACCAGAAGAACCACAATCAGATTTGTCTGCGCCAGGTCCCAGTCAATTACCTCTTGATATGGATAAAGCAATAAAAGCACAGTGTGCATCTACTTCTAACGTTGTTATTAAAGATAACGAGACAATTACTAGTACGAGTATTAATAGAAACCACGAAAATGATCCAGTTATTGATACAGATGATGACAGCAGTTATGCTCCTAGCACTTCTTGGGAAAGTGAATCTGATATTACTGTTATAACAACCGAAGATGAATGTTATGGAGATAGTAACAATTAGTTGAACAATGGAACACATCAAAATATTACAACACGACAAGAAAATGTTGCAGAAGACGCTGATGGAGATGAATGGGTCGACATAAAAAATACGACTCCAGAATTTGAAGAATACCCGCACGAATGTCAATATAATGTACCTGAAAATGTTAAGATACCAAATGAGTTATTTAGACTGTTTCTAACAGATGAGATAGTTGACAATATGGTTCTTGAGACTAATTTGTACGCCGAAAAATTTCTTACTAATCCAGACTTGAAGAAAAAATCTCGGTTCCGCTATTGGAAGCCAATTAACCGAGAAGAGATGCCGAAGTTTTTAGGTGTTGCCCTAGTTATGGGTTTGAATAAAGTTCCACACGTTAATCACTACTGGTCCAAAAATATTATGTATCGAAACGAATATATCATAAAAGTTATGAGTAGAGATCGATTCACTGCAATTTTAAAATTTTGGCATTTTAATGATGACACTATTGACAGGACAACCGATAAACTAAATAAAATACGTGATGTGTATGAAATGCTTCTTGCTGATTTCAAGAAAGTTATTGTCCCAGGTAAAATCCTAGTAATTAATGAGACCATGTTGCTATGGCGCGGAAGACTACAATTCCGGAAATATATAAAAAATGAATCACATAAATATGGAATGAAGCTTTACAAACTATATACTGTCGATGGATATACTTATAATATGATAGTGTATAAAGGAAAATGACAGGATGGACGGGAAAAGGATCATGGAATGAAGACCGTTTTGAAATTAATACAAAATTTAGATAAAAACGGTAGGATTGTTATAACAGACAACTTTTACAACAGCGTAGAACTTGCTGAAGAACTATTAAAGGAAAAACTTTTTTGTGTGGTACTCTCAGATCAAACAGAAGGGGCTTACCAAAGTCTGTTGTGGCAAAAAAGATAAAAAAGGGCGAAGTTATTGGAAAGATGAGAAGAAACGGTGTAAAAGTTATAAAGTGGGTGGACAAAAGAGCAGTCTTAATGATTACTTCATGAAAAAATCATGATGTAAAACTTGTAACTAAAACAAGATCTAGGCGAGGGAGGGAGAAACATATAAGGAAGCCAGAATGCATATTTTTTTATAATGATGGCAAAAAAGGGAATTGATTACAATGAACAAATGTCCTCATATTACAGCACCTTGAAGCGGGAAAGAAGTGGTTTCGTAAATTGATGATGGAACTACTTTTTGGAACAGCTGTAGTAAATGCGTGGGAGGTATATAACAATAATAAAAAAAATAAGATAGCAAAGAAAAAAAATATTGAAAGCATCATAACGAAATTTACAGGAGTTCCTTTTTACCTGGAAAAAGATAATCCGGAAATGACTATTGAACACAAATATATAGTGAATACCAAGAAAAGACGTTGTGTGAGTTGCTACGAAAAGGCACGAAGAACAATGAATAGCAAAGAAGCGGATAAAAAGACAAAACAGCTTAAAGGTTTCTGTGTGAAGTGTGAAAAAACTACGTGTCTTCTGTTATCTAATGAAAAACATTGACATTTATGTTCTAAGCAGTTAGTCAGTTTCTAATGTCTTACCCACTGTTTTATTATAATAAATGAATCATTATCAATAATGTTATTTGTGTTTATTTTGAAAATTTTTCAGTATTTTTTTTAGATAACTTGAGGCGGTGATAACTTTCTGAAAGGTCTGTTAATCCCCCACCTGGACATACAAACAAAATTGTAGGTTATTTAAATTTCATAGAAATATTGAGGTTTAAAGTGACCAAGTCGTACGCGACTTATTGGATCTCGTTGCGTCATTCCTTGTGGATCACAAAGAGAACTTTTAGATCTCCTTACGTCATATTAACTAGATGCATAGCTGCGCTTCCGCGATGAACGTGGTAAAAGGAAAAAAGGTGACCAGCGAACCCGCAGTCCGCCTGACGGTAAGTGGATGCTGTGACCCACAGATACTTATATTTATTTTTTACATACTATATCGAAGCATGTATGGAACACCATCACTTGAAAACGGCTGAACCGATTTGATAAAAAAATTGTATATATTTGAGTGTTCCTTGGATGGCTTACGGGGGCTTTACACATTGGCCAACATAGTGGCGAATGTAGTGGCAAAGATATTGGCCAAGAGTTTGTGATGGAGTCCACACGTTGGAAGATTGTTCAGTTTACTTCGGTTCAGGCCAATGTGCGGAGGAATAAAGTAGCAGGAATTTTTAAAGTTGAAATTGGCACTTAAAGGCTGGTAATAGGGGCATCCACTTTACGAAGCGTGAATATAAAATTTATATCAGGTGCAGGTAATCACTTTAGGAGCTCGTAACATACTAAACACGCACCCAACTTGTGGATGCGGCGGACAAACTCTGCCACAATCCTTTGATTCTTTGTAAAAAACCAACACCACATGTATATCACGCCAACTTGTGGGCCATAATTCCAATACATACAAAGGCAAGCACAAACACCCGCTCTACACTATGGCCAATGCTATTTATTGGTCACAACGTTCGCCACTATGTTGGCCAATATTGTTGTAGAGCCGCCCTTAGATTATTTTGTACGCCAATTCAGATTATAAATACTGAATTGGCATACAAAATGTGCTTCTTTGATAACACCTTAGAGAATGAATTTCTAAAGGGCCTTCAAAGCACCTGCAATTCCCCTGTTATTGCAGTTGTTCATGAGCAGCGGTAGTCACTTAACATCAGATGAACCGTATGCTCGTTTGCCCCTCTCCTATAAAAGAAAAATGTTTTCCGAAAGTCGTAAGATAATTCTGACGTCTGACTGAATATAAAATGCTTTTTAAATAAACACGTTTTATTTGTTTTCGTATTCAGAAATATAAAAACTTGTGCCAATATATTTGCTTATTTTTATATAGACTTATAATGCTTGGTTTTTATGAATAAATAAAACAAAACCAGCATCGATAAATACCAATTTTGTTTTATTTTTTATTAGAAATGTTTCTTCGCTACGTTTTCCTTAACTATCAATCTTAACTCTTTTACCTAATATCAGACGGATTTAAAATGGCCGAAGGTGATTGAACAAAACTACTTTTACGAATTATATCGCGTATATGCTAACTTGTTTTTATTTACCAATCCTTTTAGTGTTTTGCAGCGAGTTCAAGGGTTCCTGGGGAGTTTCATATCCGGATGTTATAATTTACCGAGAGTATCTGCAGCCTTTAATTAAAAGTAGATTTAATCTGTGTCGTGTTTGCGTTAATATAAGGGTAAAGAGATATAAACATCTAAACATATAAATAAAATTTTCTGTCTGTAATATTAACATAATCGGCTTCTGTTAGATACGGGGATATTTTCATGCTATTAGGACATAAATAATCATTTTAAAATGTTTGTCTGTCTTTTGGAGCTAATCTTCGTTATGGCTTAACCGATTACGGTGAAACTTTACGAACAGATAACAAGCAATACCAGAAAGGATCTGGGCTATATTTTAAACAACTTTAATTTCATTTTAAAAAGACAAAAAATTAAGGTATAATATTAATAATTATCAATATGTCTGTAACGATCTTTGATAAATTTTAATCTAAATAATCCAGTATCCAATAATCCAGGCGAAACCAGGGTAGATCGATAGTTTAATAGAAAAATAATTTACAAATATATTTATAACAGAAATATTATTGATAAAGTGATTTCAAGCAATTTATAGGTCACAAGTAACGTGTTTTAGAAGTTTTTATGAAAAAGCTTTTGAAGAAAACCCATCTATCAAATACGTATTATACGTATTTTGAGGTGTTTAATTTTATTCGTATTAAATTTTATCGTCCGCCTGAGACAGGAAGAAGCTTTAAAAATGTAGCTTAAAGTAACATTGTGCCATTACTTTTGGCGAAGACTTCCGAGGATTGTAGTTCATGGTCGACGGTAGTTATTTACCACCAGGTGAGCCACATGCTCGTTTGCACCTCTTTTATATATAAAAAAATTCAAAATCTGCTCGGCCACCGCATTGAGCGTACGCAACCCGCGGGTGAGTGGCGCTTATATTATAATATCCACAGTGTGCTTATTGTGTAGAGACACTGTAAAAATAGCCAATACCATGGCCCCATGGGTATCGTAAGAGGCAACAGAGAGAAGTAATTAGAACAAAAAATAATAGTAATTGCCAACCTACCTGCCAAGCGAGGTAACTAAATGAAATATCCCCCGTATGATGCAATATATGAGTGAGGCCTATGTTGAGCAATGGACTTCGATAGGTTTTAAAGGTAGTTGTGCCCGTTACTCCGTTCGCATAAATCCTTTTTTTGGATTGTTTTGAAGCCGAGCAAGTTGGTAATCTTATTTATTTTGCAACTTTATTTCTTGTCTATAATTTTAATTTTATAAACTACACATAGTTACACCGCAATTTTTTTTAATTCTCACCTTTTGTCAGCCTCTTCAATATATCTAAAAAAAAGTAATGGAGGTGTTAGGTAATCCACTACCCCATCCCGTGGGTGTCGTCAGAGACGACATAAGGCTACCCCATCCCGTGGGTGTCGTCAGAGACGACAGATGGCTACGCCCTCCGTGGGTGTCGTCAGATACGACAGATGGCTACCCCATCCCGTGGGTGTCGTCAGAGATGACAGATGGCTACCCCATCCCGTGGGTGGGTGTCGTCAGAGACGACAGATGGCTACCCCATCCCGTGGGTGTCGTCAGAGACGACAGATGGCTACCCCATCCCGTGGGTGTCATCCGAGACGACAGATGGCTACACCATCCCGTGGGTGTCCTGAGAGACGACAGATGGCTACTCCATCCCGTGGGTGTCCTCAAAGACGACAGATGGCTACCCCATCCCGTGGGTGTCGTCAGAGACGATAGATGGCTACCCCATCCCGTGGGTGTCGTCGGAGACGACAGATGGCTACCCCATCCCGTGGGTGTCGTCAGAGACGACAGATGGCTACCCCATCCCGTGGGTGTCGTCAGAGACGACAGATGGCTACCCCATCCCGTGGGTGTCGTCAGAGACGATAGATGGCTACCCCATCCCGTGGGTGTCGTCAGAGACGACAGATGGCTACCCCATCCCGTGGGTGTCGTCAGAGATGACAGATGGCTACCCCATCCCGTGGGTGGGTGTCGTCAGAGACGACAGATGGCTACCCCATCCCATGGGTGTCGTTAGAGACGACAGATGGCTACCCCATTCCGTGGGTGTCGTCAGAGACGACAGATGGCTACCCCATCCCGTGGGTGTCATCAGAGACGACAGATGGCTACACCATCCCGTGGGTGTCCTCAGAGACAACAGATGGCTACCCCATCCCGTGGGTCTCCTCAGAGACGACAGATGGCTACTCCATCCCGTGGGTGTCCTCAGAGACGACAGACGGCTACCCCATCCCGTGGGTCTCCTCAGAGACGACAGATGGCTACCCCATCCCGTGGGTGTCCTCAGAGACGACAAATGGCTACCCCATCCCGTGGGTGTCGTCAGAGACGACATATGGCTACTCCACCCCGTGGGTGTCGTCAGAGACGACAGATGGCTACCCCATCCCGTGGGTGTCGTCAGAGACGACAGATGGCTACCCCATCTCGTGGGTGTTGTCAGAGACGACAGATGGCTATCCCATCCCGTAGGTGTCCTCAGAGACGACAGATGGCTACCCCATTCCGTGGGTGTCGTCAGAGACGAGAGATGGCTACCCCATCCCGTGGGTCTCCTCAGAGACGACAGATGGCTGCACCTCATCCCGTGGGTGTCGTCAGAGAAAACAGATGGCTACCCCATCCCGTGGGTGTCGTCAGAGTCGACAGATGGCTACCCCATCCCGTGGGTGTCGTCAGAGACGACAGAAGGCTACCCCATCTCGTGGGTGTCGTCAGAGACGACAGATGGCTACCCCATCCCGTGGGTGTCGTCAGAGACGACAGAAGGTTACCCCATATCATGGGTGTCGTCAGAGACGACGGAAAGAAACAAACCAGGATACGGGCAGTCTTCGTAATAAGGACTAAAAATAAAAAATAAACTGCGTTTGAAAACAAGCCAGCCAAGCGTGGCAACTATGGAAAATATGCCATCTATGAAGAAATCTATAGGGAGGCCCTTACTCAGCAGTGGACTTTAATAGACTGTAATGGTAATGGTAAAGTATAAGTATCTCTTGCATCTTGCTTATTGCGTAAAAATGTTGTGTCACCAAGGACCTTAATTATTATGCTAGTAGAGTGTAAAACAGATTATTTTATAGTATGTTAATGTTTATTATTGTTATATTTACGTTCAAAATCATTAGTGTTATTATTATTATATTATTTATACAAAATTGTGTTAATTAATTTCAGCTACTCGATTCCACTATCAATGATTGGTAGACTACCAGCAACTTTCTGCCACGCAAGACCACATTATAGATTTTATTGCCACGAGTGGCTTTTCGTGGTTCTCATCTCACTTCCTGCTCTCATAATTAACAGTCCGTAACGGTAGAGTTAATTGCCGAGAGAGTGAACAAAGTGACGAACGGTCCGTTTACTTTGTACTATATTAGTTCTAAGTGCATTTTTTATTAAACACTGGCTTTAGTTTTTAGAGTTCGTGCTATTTCAAAGTTGCCCGTTGCTCTTTTTAGCCGACTTCTAAAGGGAAGTGGTTCACGATTCAATTGTATGTTTTCGTAGGTATTCTGCTCGATATCTTTGATAATTGAAAATATAAAATTGGTTATTCCTATCTTATTTCAGGGATGTTTCCGTATAAATAACAATTCCGCTCCTAAGTGTGGCAAAATGGAGGAAGAAGTTTTCAATGTAACTATTTAGTCGAACACTATACATTGATTAAAACTACTTTTACGGATTTTATTGCGTTTTATTTATATTAATTTTAATACCCGACGTTTCGGGTGATTTCCGCTTTATTTATATATATTTTGCGTTTTATTTATATTAAAATTAATATAAATAAAACGCGATAAAATCCGTAAAAGTAGTTTTAATCAATGTATAGTGTTCGCGTAAATATAAGAAATCATTATGTAAACCAGTACGCACTGGAAATAGCAAATAAAATACGCCGATTAGAAGATCTAAAGACCAAGCGCGCAAGATACATAACAGCTTTAAATTTCTTGAAAAGATGCAGAGATCATAATCTCATTCCTTCGTGTGTCAAGATATCTACTAAAAAAAGACATTCGAGGAAGTGCTAAGATCTTAAATCAGGCGAGTAAAAAGTTGTTAATTACGGTGATTCAGCAAAAATGTACCGATCTATGTTTCATTAACAAAACCATAGACAAATCCTCCAGTGAATTAAAGACAGTTTTATCGACATTTGATTATAAGAATTGCATGGAAACTTTAGATAAACGCGAAACAACTAAATACAATGAATGCCAAAATAAACATATTGAAAAATACCAAAAATTAACAACTAAAACAAATGTCCAACATCAATGGCAACGTAAGAACGAAACGACCACAGACACGAATAGTAAACAAGGCGTGGTTTATAAACTGTCAAAACATAATCTGGACGACGCCACATTAAAAGTTGTAGGAAGAGGTTTTAATTATGCAATTACACCGCGAAGAATCCCGTATGAAGACATTATCTGTAGTGATGAGGATTGTCTGTATAAAAATAATATTGGTAATGAAGATTTAGAGGCCATACGCCAAGACATTTCGTCTATGTTACGTCGAAGTACCGCGCCGAAATTAAATCTTCCCAAAAATGAATTTAACGCGTTAAAAACCTTACGCAACAGACCAGACCTTACGATTCTCTGCGCAGATAAAAGAAATGCTACGGTTGTAATGGATACGTCGGATTACAATTTTAAAATACAACAAAATTTGTCGGATGAAAGTACATACCGTAAGGTGAAAACAGACCCTACAACTAATACGTTTAAAACAAGTAGCGATCTAATTAAGAAATACTCCGAGAAATTGAATTTAGACGTCAATTCGATGATACCTTCGTGTGCTAAACCTCCCAAGTTGTATGGGCTACCAAAAATACACAAACCTAACACTCCATTACGTCCAATAGTGAGTCAAATCGATTCGCCAACGTACAGATTGGCTCAACACTTAGCCAAAATATTATCACCACTCAGAGGACACACAAGAGCACATACTAAGAATTCATACCATTTTGTCAGTCAGATAAAAGGCCTACGTCTTGCTGACAATGAAACCATGGTCAGTTTTGATGTTCAGTCTCTATTTACATGCCTACCTATTGAAAACTGCATCTCAATTATAACTAGGAAACTAGATGAAAATAACATGCCACCAGAATATGCAGTACTACTAAGACATTGCCTTACATCTGTCTATCTGTTGTGGAAGGAAAAGTTTTACAAGCAAGTAGATGGTGTTGCGATGGGCTCACCTGTATCTCCCATTGTCGCCGATATATTCATGGAAGACTTTGAGGAGACTTTGAAGCCCTCCTTACTGCACCTGTTACCCCAAGGTTCTACAAGCGTTACGTAGACGATACTTTCAAAATTTTACCATCAGACAAAGTAACTGCATTTTTAGAATATCTTAATTCCATAAACCCTAAAATTCAATTTACTATGGAATTAGAGGCAAATAATTCCTTAGCTTTCCTAGATGTGTTAGTCATCCGAAATCCTAACAACACCATAGGTCATACTGTGTATAGAAAAAAGACCCATACAAACCGATACTTAAATGGTGAATATCACCATCCTCTTACCGCTACCGTGGGACAAATCTTTGTTTCAGAGAGCACGAGGAATCTGTGACAGCAAACACCTGGCCGCCGAACTTCAGCACGTCAAGCAGGTTCTGCACGACAACAAGCTTCGGGTCCCGCGCCTCCGACACAGTGACCGAGTGAAGCCGGCCACAGTCGAGCGTGTGCCTGCTATACTACCATATGTCAGAGGTGTCACAGACAAGATTGGCTACATCTTGAAGCGAGCTTCTATAAGAACATTCTACAAGCCGCCGAAGAAGATTAGTCAGTTCTTACCATCCGTCAAGCGTCATATTCCTCTACAAGATGCAGGAGTGTACAAGCTTGATTGTGATTGTGGTCTCTCATTTATAGGGCAAACAAAGAGATCGATTAGAACCCGCGTAAAATAACACATAGCTGACATGAAACATCAACGTTCCGGGAAGTCTGCAGTTTGCGATCATATTCTAAATGGCCCCAACCATTACATCAGATTTGATAGACCACAAATCCTCGCGAAAGAACATCGATTCCTACCAAGGATGATACGTGAGGCTATTGAAATTAAAAAAACATCCTAATTTCAATAGAGAAGGAGGCTGGGTACTACCACCTGCTTGGGATCCTATAATTAATAAAATTAAAACTAAACCCAAGCATACCACTGCAAGACTTCAAAATACAGTTAGTTTATTCTGCGCAGATCGGACCAAAGACTATAATTAAAAAGCTGAAGGTACTCCGGGTTAACTTTGACATCGGGACGTCAGTTACCTCAGTCCCCCCGTGACCATGGGTGCTGGAAAGCACCCGAAACATCGGGTATTAAAATTAATATAAATAAAACGCGATAAAATCCATAAAAGTAGTTTTAATCAATACTTAGTCGACTCAAAACTGTAAAAAAAAACTTTTTACAAAAGTACATACCAAGTAAAGTTGGAGCTTTAATTCTTCTATTCACTTTAGCAAAACAACGACTTCAGAATATTAAAAAAATCTTTTTAGTTCCTTGAAGTCGGTTTTTACTTTTCGCTGTCTTTTTTTCTTTTTCAAGTCTTCGCAAACATTGTTAATTATTCGTTAAACATAAACAAAACTGACATATTTCACCAGAATTTGCATTTATGAAATATGCGCCGACAAAAATAAACTGACTCTCTTTTGTTATATTTTTTATAAAAATCCGTTATATTAATATATTTTATAAAAATTTATTAATATTATTAACTACATGACAATTCCACTACTATTGGCTTTCTGTTGCCCTTGTTGGAGTATCAACAAATGTATTTTATGTAGTTAGTTTGGAGTTTAACTTTGAGCAATGTAGATAATTGAATAACCATATTCATAAGGGATGATTTTGATTGATATGGTTGCGCCAAAACGCATATTTTGTAGACGTTATTAGCTGGTAGTATTTCCTCCCCATCACTTCCGCCTCCTTCCTGCACGGGTATGTCAAATAGAAGGCCCGATATGGTGGCGTCATTTTTGGCGACCAATAGTTTCATTATTACGAAAAATGAAAGGCCGAAAACACGCCAACGGCCGTCCAGTGTCGTCGATGTGCCGCCATCTCGCCGAGTAGTTGAAGACCAACGTTAGATGTGATTGCACCTACGTAATAGTCGTGCCACAGAAAAAGCTAGTAGTGACCGCTATGCATAGTTCACAGAACTATTAGCGTCACCATTTTCTGGTTCTTCGACCCGGATTAGAATTGGGTCAATTGGCCCCACCATTTTCTGGTCCAGTCGAGCAGGATAGGAGCTAACCTCCTGTGGCCTGATCGAGTCGAACTGCTTAGCCAATTTTTGGACAATGCACTCTAGTTTGTTAACACTTGATAGGTCTCAGCTTCGCTTAGCACTGTCGGGGAATATACGCCGTATTGTTGAATTGAAAATTG